AGAAAGTGCATGGTAGTACCCTACCCCCCAACTGCCACCCTCCCTATCCTGACCTCTTACCCTAGTCAACCCAAAAGCATATGTCAATGGATATAGCCAATAAAAAATCGACAAACATGCGCGCAACTTGATTATTTCAGTGGATATATGCCATCTTCTACGAGTATATGTGCCGAATAACTTTGTCCATTAAAGTTTAGGTAAATAAAATAAACACTTATTGTTCCTTATCGCCTCTACAATTTGAACGTGAAACGTTATGGTTCTTCTCTCACTTTATTGTTCACTAGTTAGGCACACAGGTTATCCATTTTTTTTATTTCATTTTGTTTTAGACTTAATATATCGTGTTACCGCTTAGCAAAGTCCTATATTTTTAATAAACCGTCATTATTTCCTGGGTTGTGCCGCTTTCCTAATCAAAAGATAGGAAAGCACCCCTTCTTCGAAAATTATGGGGTCATTTTGTCGATTTCATTCAACATGGTTTTCTCAAGTGCCCTAGTATACTGATTCATTTTTAAATCTTATTTACAAGGATGACACAATATTTTAGATTTAAAATTCAATTTTAAACTTCTTATTATCCTTAATTACTCTCTTATAAGCATAAAAATGACATGGCTAGGGTGGAGACAACATATACCCAACTATTTCAATTAAACTAATTTTTACATAAAACATAAATATGTACATAATTTTTAAATATCAACAAATATGGAGTTCTAATCAAATAGTATTGAAATAGAGGAAGTAGGATTGGAGTTGTTGATAATATGTAGCAGTAAATGGTGAAGGCAAGCATGGCAATGACGACAAACGCATGCAGCTGTTTCTAAGTGTCAGAGAGACGTATTATCCCTACTGCTATTGCCACTGCAAATATTTACATTTCTAAAGGACAAAAGGTCATCATTACTTTGCAATAACTAAGCAAATCATCATTGTCCCTACCCTCTCTCTTTATTACAAAGGAGTAGAGTATTTCTTTTTTGGCCCCTTAGAAATATTATATTCCGTATATAAAGATGGCAATAATCAACTCACTACATCAAAAAAAATAAAAAAAATAATTAGCCGGTGCGCTATTTATTGTATGAAGCCTTAACCTACATTTATGCAAGAGGTTTGATAGTAGCATATATTATGCGATGTAGATGTTATTTATGCTTTAAATTAATCATATTTTATTGATGTTTTAAGTGTTAAATGATAACAAAATGCTCTAATTGAGGTTTTTATGCTTTGCAGGAGCTACTCCGAGTTAGGAGGAGGATATAGAGTGTTTTGGGGTCAAATATGTAGATACAAGACCAATCGAGAAGAGCCCGGATGAAAACGAGCAAGAAAAGGAGAAGAAAAACTAGGCAACAGTCAACTGCGATCGTGGTAGGGCCGCGGCTGGAACGCGGTGAAAGAAAGGCGAAAAACAGAAAGTCTAAAAAGACTGCGGTTGGCCCGTGACCACGGTCGATTTGAAGAAGGCCAAGAAAGTTTAAGGGCTAAAGTGTAAAGTTTGGGAAACTTATCCTAACCCTATATAAACTCAACAAACTCGCCCAAGTAAAGGTTAAGCTTGTTTTTAGACTCAATTGGAGGCAAGAACAAGTGTGAGAAGATAAAGACACCATTAGAGTTTTTCATTCTTCTCCCTGTCATCATTATTTTGTGAACTATGAATTATTTTATGGCTTTATCTTGTTTTACCATGAGTAGCTAAACATTTAATGTAGGGTTTTGATGGAACCTCTTTGAGGATGAATTTCTTGCTATGTTAATATAGACTTGCCTTTATATTTTCTATGTTTGTTCAACTATATTGTGATTGTTGTCGATTGAAGGGCCCTCAATCGGCTATGCCTATTTAGTATGCATTACTCGGGAGAGAGTGTAACCACTCCTAACGTATATGAGGGATCAATACGAAGGGTTTAGAGGTGGGATTAGGGATAACGAAACCTTGAGTGCGATCTAAGTGAGCTGTAACTAAGGCCAACAAGCGTAATTCAGGAGAATATGTCTAGTATATTGTTGTAATTACTCGGAGAGAATTACGACAGTAAGAGTGCTCATGATCGATAGAGAAGATTTAGGCAAATTTATAGCAATATAGCGAAAAGGATTCCGACAAGAGGGAAAATCATAACCTTAGACCATTCTCATTCTTGCTTACAATTAGTCTATAGCTGGTCTTAATTTACTGCATTGTTATTACATAATCTCTAGTTAATAAACACCCAAATTGTTAATCAAATATCTCTGAAGATTGAATACGTGAATTTCTGTGAGTCCAATAGCTGTGATTGATAGGTTAATTCCCTATGGGATTTGACTCCAGACTTGTTAATCGGAATATATTTGTAGTGACCGCTTTGTCCTTTTTATAAGGCATAGTTGGGCGTGATCAAGGCTGTTTTCATGGATTGAACCCGTGATATCCTGGTCACATGGCAGCAACTTTACCAAGTACGTCAAGGCTCCCCTTCTACTCATTATATCAATAACAACATAAACTAAATGTAATTTCACAAATAGAATTTGAAGAGGATAGTATATATACAGACATTATCTCTATCTTGAAGATAGGGAGACTATTTCTGATTTACCCTCGGCTTAAAAAAAGCATAATTACAACATTATTAAGAAAAAACACATTAATGGAGAAGCCATGGAAAAATCAACGATCAAAAATATTAAATGTTTTCAATGTATTTTGGTACACGAACTAATTAGGTAAAATTATAATACATGAATGTAATTAGAAAAGAATAAAAACAAAAATAATTATGAGGTAAATAATACTATAAATATTGTTGTAGAGGAATTATTTTGATACTTGAATCAAGAATTAGTCGCACTAATTTCTAGCTACAGAGTAGTCTTAATTTAAAAAATTTAAATTTTAAAACTAAAAGAAAACTCAAATTACTAAAGGAGCGAATACTTTTTTTTTCATACACTTTTACCACTTAACTATAATAATTAGTATAAATCCTTGCCCTTAATATATAACTTAATCATGATAAATTGATGCAATTTAGTGCTAAAAACAGATGCCATAAAAAAATTCATGCGAAATCTGTGTAATCCCTAACATATAGGGTTGTGACACATCTTTTTCGTTAATTTTCGTGGTGTCTACATTCTATACATGAGTCCCACTTGTGACCAATCCAACTATATTAGGCAATGAAACTACAATATATACTTGCTAAATATTTATCCGTACGTACTGGGTATTATATTGGCTCAATAAATGCCTAACACATTTTTTCACGAATATGATTATCACGCTAAATTATAGTTTACTAATAGATATTCATACTTTAATAGTATTTTTTTTACCTTAATGATATTTAATTATATATAATAAATTAATATAGTTTAATAAAAACATTCAATAGGGGTAACTGTAGGGGTGTTCATAAAAATTCGAAAAACCGAACCAAATCGAAAACCAAACCAAACTGACCAAAAAAGTCGATACTTTTTGGTTTGGTTTGGCTTTGGTTTTGAAATTTAAAAACCGATCAAATTTTGTTTAGTTTTGGTTTTAATAAAAAAAAACGAGCCAAACCGAATATAAGAGTAGTTATTTTAATTTTAGAATTAATCGTTTGCACTTTTAGTACAGTTCTTTATCTTTACATTCTAGTTTGATTGGTAGTTTTCTTTTGTTAAGTGTAAGAATCTATTTCATGTTAAAAATAATATATTTTTAATTGAGTCCTTAAATTATTCATCACTATTTGATTCAATAATTATCAATATATCTTGGTAAATAATAGATTTCTCAAAGGGCAATTGATTTGATAGTGTTACGTTAAAAATATGGTCGCCGAAATATGTGTTTGGTAGTGTATGTCTTATATTTAAGAAAAAACCCAAAAAATAACCGAAAAAACTGAAAAACCGAAATAAACCGAATCGAGAAAAAACTGACTTAATTGGTTTGGTTTGGTTCTAATATTTAAAAAACCGACTTACTTGGTTTGATTTCTTTTTAAGGAAAAACCGATCCAAACCGAACCATGAACACCCGGGAGTAAGTACTAAGTAGGCTGTAGGAGTAACTATTTTCTGTGCATTGACCTAAAATACTACCCTACCTTTGACTTAGAGGCATAGATCTTAGCTGTCCTAGGGTTAAAAATACTCCTTATTCTCATATGAAGAAAGAAGAATCAAATAATACTAAAAAAAAATGTTGTGATATAAGAATAGTACGATTTTCATATGCTAATTTAGTTTCAGTACAGAACAGTAGCATTTTCTTTAAATGTAATTTTGAACACTCATTACTTAATTACTTTATTTAGAAATGTCGATTTGATTGGATCTACTTCTGATTTGGGAAACATAATTTTATTGATCTTTGGGTTATGAACATTCAAAGCATTTGGAATTATACAAAATTATTTTATCCTTTTTTTTGGTCTTCTGATATGGTGCAATATAAGACATAATACAGGTTCCATATTTTTCGGAAACATATACAGAAATATTCTTGTTGAAATATCCTCTATCTAGTCTATACTAATGAACAAACATTTAGACCAGAAAAAAAAAACATTTAGAGAAGGTGTGAAATGTACTGGACCAAAAATATAAGGCTATTTTAGACCAAGAATTGTAGAAGTATGCAGCAACACAACCGCAATAAACTCAGTGTAATGCCACAAATAGGGGTCTGAGGAGGGTAATGTGCAGTGGCGAAGCCAGAAATTTTCCTTAAGGCATTCAAACTTGAAAGAAGTAAAAAATACTTGACAAAGGGTGTCTAATATATGTTAAATACCTCTAAAATCTAATATTTTACCTATATACGTAGCGTAATTTTCCGACGAAGGATGATTACCATAGCATAACTTCGCCCATGGCAATGTGTACGCAGTTTTACCCGTACTTTATGCAGGTAAAGAAGCTGTTAATAGTAAAAGTATAGTGGCATAAGATATTAGATTAATAATAGTCACAAAATCAACAAGAGTAGAGAAAAGTCATGCAATATTTGGTCTCTCAAAAATACTTGTAGATAAGTATTCTGGTGCATGGGTAAGCCAGTATTACCTATCATAATCTTCAAACTTAATATAGTATCTGTTTTTGTAGTTCATAGTTAATAACTCAAAGACTCTTATGTAACCTAACTAAGAAGGATCCACCGGCGTCCGTCGGCCATCTCCGCCGGCGGCACGTGGCTGCTGGAACTGGCTTAGTTGACCTATCAGAAGGCTACTTGCATCAAAGTTGTTACTCCCATGACCTTCAAATGCGCGAATCATGTGCTGATGTTGTTGTTGTTGCTGCTGCGACTGATCTCTAGGGAAGAACTGATGGTGGTGGTAGAGGTGGTGGTGATGATCCCGTCCGCCTCCAGCCATGAAGTTGAATTGCTGGTGGTGGTGGGCAGTAGTGGCAGCTGCAGCAGCCGCAGCTGCCAAGAGTCCATGAGTAGTAGTACCTGCAATACCTGTCGAGATATAATATAACACGAGTTTAAGTTTTATACACTAATAATATACAAAATATTTACACAATTAGTCACTTATTGATAGTATAAATTTTTTGTTGTTGTCAATATATAGAACTTAAACCCGAATATAATTAAGTACTAGCACTAAAAATGTACCATCTCTAACAAGATTATACTTTTAAATAGTTTGTCATACAATTCAACACAGTACTAAAACATACAAGAAATCCTAGGTTCAAATCTTTTTGCGACCCAAAAAAGGGATTCCGGTGCGATAATCTCCCGTTATGCGTGGGATTCGGGGAAAGGTCGGACCAAAAAGGTCTATTATACGCAGCCTTATCCTATATTTCTGCAAGAGGCTGTTTTCACGGCTCAAACCGTGACCTCCTGGTCACATAACAAAAAATCTACCAACTACATCAAAGCTCCCTTCCGACCCAGAAAGCAATAAATATATAAATAAAAATAAAAAATTTAAGCCATAAAAAGAAGAGAGAAAAATTAACTTAAATTGCCATCCACCCAAAAAAGTAATTTGCTAGCGGTTGTAAATATTAGGGCCGAACGGTCAAATGTGTAACTTCCCCAACAAAGAAACAAGGAGTGTGTAGAGAAATAATGTAATTAAATACTGAATTAAAAAATGTGTTGTTAAACAATTTACCTCCTAAGTTTTGGTACTTGGAAAGCTCAGATTTAGCACAGCTAAGATCCATTTGAAGTTGTCGAAGTTGATGTTGAAGAAGTGAAATAACACCAACACAGCCATAAACAGGATCCCTTAGTCTCATATCAGCTTCATAAGCTAATGAATTTACAGCATCTTCACGTTGGTGAGGCTGTAATTCATTCAACAATTTGGTCACGTTACTTGCCCCAAACACTTTGTGCACATTCGCAAATTTCTGAGGTTGATCAGGGGGAAAGTATGGCGCAAAAACGCACTCTGGTTGGCATTTTCGACGTAGGAATTTACACGCTGCACATGGCGAATTTGACGATAATGAAGAAGAAGAGGAAGACATTGATACCAACAACAACTTGTTTTTCTTCTTCTGAATTTGTCTTGCTTTAGTTAGACCTGAAATATGGTACAACCAAATAGTATTGAAATTAATGATATATGACTATGAGAGTGCATATATATATAAATAGGGTTAAGTGGTTAACAGTTCACAACTGGGATATGCTATAGTGAGTATATATTTTCTAGGAAAATTTTACGAAGATCTGGAAAAAAGTTGTGCTGTGAAATATAAAAGAGGTTTTTGAAATTTCTTATTTTGGCCATGTGGGTCTTTAGAAACTTAAAAGACCAAAACAGTATAATATAGTATATATTCTTGAATAATACTACCTCTCAAAATTTCAACCGGAATTCAGATCCAAAATACCCCTTTACTTCCTCTGTCCCAAAATATGTGATATTTTTCATTTCTCGAAATTTAATATAAATTTTGACCAAAATTCTAAAACGTATTTTTCATCTGACATGAGAAGAACTACAAAGTATAGTTCTTTTTCATATAATTGTTGAAAATTTAAAATTTTAATTTTAAAATATTGAGTGGATACAATTCTATTAAACTTCAAAAACTAATCAAATTGAATCACGAGAAGTGAAAAATATCATATAAATTGACTCATGAAAAAGTGAAAAATATCATATAAATTGGGACGGAAAAAGTAATATTTGTATGTTACAAGGCAAAAGGGGAGAAAAATGGAAATTGTAGAAGTGACCAGAAGAAACAGTAATATAAGTAGTAGTACCTGTTTTTCTTCTGAATTTTGGACGATGTGATTTTGCTGTGTTTAACCAAAGGAAACAGAAACAAGACCTGTGCTTTGTTTGCTGCAATTGAAGACCAACAAGATATTTGCTAATACTATTATTCCAGAAAAAAGATGAAGGATATGAAGAAGAAATTAATAGTATAGCAAATTAGTAAAAGCTAGAAAAATAAATAAAAAATCATGTACGTACGTACGTATAATATGAACGGCTTAAAAATGGAAGGAAATAATATTATGAAGAGTACTAATATCTAGTCTAGCATAGCATGGTATTAAGAAAGATTTCTTGGGGGGATTTATTTTGGGATTGGATCCCGTGTAATTAAGTGTGAAAGTAAGAGCTTTGTATTTGTTAAGTATGGAGTAATAATATACTATTATTTCACTCATTACAATGTCATAATTTTAGTCTCCTACTCAGATCTTGCTTGAAATTCATTCATTCACGTCCTCTTGTATATTTTTGTGTGTAGTAACAAAGTCGGAATTTTCACTAGGAAGATTCAAAATATACAACAATAATAATAAATTTAGTGTAATTTTATAAGTAGGGGTCTAAAAATGATAGTATGTACACAGCTTTACGTCTACCTTGTGCAACTAGAGAAGTTGGTTTTGGTGGACCCTCAACAAGATTCAAAATATAAAGAAATAAATATACTGAGAACTCAGTAAAATTCAACATCTACTATATATACGTAAAATAATTTGAGACTTAAGTGTAATTTTCCGACGAAGGGGTTCGGTTGAACCTCTTTGTCCCCTAGCTCTTCCCATGCTCGTGTGTGAGAGAAAATTAAGACATTGAAGTTTCTTTCGTCTTGAGAAAATAAAGTACAGAAAAACTTAGTGGAAAAAATGGACCAACTAATTAAAAAGAATAGGAAATTAAAATAGTACTTAGTAGTACCTCCTAAGTCTATTATTTTTGAAAGTTTGCGTGCCAAATATTTGGTCAAACCATTCTTTTCTTTTGAGCACGTAGTGTTTATATATCTGGCTAAAAGTCAAGCTTGGATCTTGTGTAACAAAAGCTATCTTTTTCAAAAACCAGAAAACTAGAAAAGAATACTCACTGCTACAACTAGTATATATATATATAGATGAAATGATTACCCTTTTTTCCTTTTGCTAAAAACAGTTTGCTTTCTTTCTGACTGGTGATCTTCACAAAAATCTTCTTCTTATCTGTATGTGAAGAAAGGGACAGAACAGTAATATTTTCTCCTTTTCAAATTAGATGATTTGGAACTATGAAGTAAGACGACGCTCTAGTTTTTTTTCCCGAAATATATAGAAACAAAGCAACCCAAAAAAACTAGCTAGAATTCGAGGGTATGAAATCTCAACAATACACGTCAAGAAATGCTAGAAGGCACAAACAGACATGCTATGAAGTGAGACGATGCTCTAGTTTTTTTTTTCGAGAGAAATAAAGCAACCAAAAAAAAACACTAGCTAGAAATCAAGGGTATGAAATCCCTAACAATAATTTTCTTAACACGTCAAAAAATGCTAGAAGGTACAAGCACACATGTGATTTAAAACGAGACTCTTGGCTACTGTCCAAATTGAAATGACATAATTTTCTTTAAACCCTAATAGGTAGTAAGAACAAAGGAGTATATGAACAAGAATAATGATATATAAATAATGCAGAATATAAGGATTTTTTTTTGAAATGAAAATATATAGTACTAATAAGTAGAAAATAGTATTAAAATTGGGCAATCTTTAAGCTTCCATATCAAGAAAAGCATATAAAGATGGTGATAATATAAGGCTAAGCGCAAGAAAAGGGGAAGAGTTTCTTGAATTTTTTTGGCTTTTCTTGTTGTTGAATGAAGTGAGCAAAGGGAAAAAACACAGAAGTCGCCCAAAAGAAGAGGCTAAGGAAACGGAGAGAAAGCAAAAAATGTAAAAGGAGAGAGTTATGACTTTGTGATTAATAATAAGGGGTAGGGGGTGGGGGAGGTTTTTGGAGGGATCTTCTTATTCTTTTGGTTGGAGATGCTGGTTTTAGGGTTTAGCAGGGAAAAGAAAGAGAAAGGGATTTTCAGAAGAAAAAATAGTACTATATGAGGGTATTTTCTAGACTTGTCTTGTGTCAATGATGTGACCTTTCCTTTTTTCTGTCCTTGTATACCATTTGTTACACCTTACACACATTTAAGTCGTCTACACTCAAACCCCCCACCCCACCCCACCCCACCCACGAGTCCAGAACCCTATTGTGGTTTTAAAAAAAAAATTACCTTCCAAAATACATCACGCTATACTTTAACGGTAACTTTTGCCATTAAGGTATAGCGTGGTGTATTTTTACGCTATATATATTGACGATTTGACTAACAGATATAACGTGCTGTATTTTTACGCTATATATATAGCGTACAAATACAATACGTTATACCCCTAATTAAATAATCCCTTCGTCTTCTTCCCCGACCAGAATCGTCCACCCCATTTTTTACTTCAACCTCCCGGTTTCTGGTCCCCCCACCCCATCGTCTTCTTTTTTTTTAAAAAAATTGTGGGCCCCACCCGTCACACAAAACGCCAAGAACGTAGGTCCCACATCGTAGTAGAGTATTGTATTATTGTGGTTTCACTCTTTCGGACTCAAATTTTCACACAAAACACTACATCAAGGTATTTCGATTTATTTTATATCGAAACTTGTATAATAATGCATATTAGTTGATTGAATGTGTTTCCATATCGTTTTGTGTTTTATTTGCGAATAAAATGTATTTGTTGTTTATATTTAGTTTAGATTATTTATTAGCGTAGTAAAATGTACAACCTTTTAGCGTAGTAAACTGTAGAGTATTTTAGTGTAGAATCCCTGTAGTTTAAGTATTTCTTATACTGGTAGATGAAAATATTTACTTTGTATAATTAAATAATTAAAAATTAAGAATTTAAATTATAAAACAAACACACACAAAATTATCAAAATCTTGAATTTGACACACATAATTATTCATGATAGTTTGGTGCTACTAGGCCTCAAATATCGAGCCTGGAACCCAATAGGTATATATACTTTGTACAATTAAATAATTAAAAATTTAAATTATAAAACAAACACACACAAAATTATCAAAATATTGAATTTGACACACATAATTATTCATGATAATTTGGTGCTAGTGGGCCATAAATATTGAGCCTCGAATCCAATAGGTATATATACTTTGTACAATTACATATTAAACATACAATTAATGTTGTTTAAATTACAGTTGACGACATGGATGTGCCGCCTATACATCCCGACCCTTACTCTCATGAGCTATTAGTTCTACAGGGCGATCATAGGTCCGCCCATATATGGGACGGAGAGTTATTGTTCCAGACTCTCCGCGCTAGGAGAGTGGACGACCTGTGGGATTTTTTTAGGCCCAGAGATCTCCACGAGCGTGTAGTCCAGCGCCTACAGGATACGGGATTTTATAGGATTATTGAGATCGGGCGGATGCAACTTGACTGGGCTTTGATCACGGCGTTGACTGAGCGGTGGTGACCGGAGACGCACATTTTTCACCTGCCCATTAGCAGGGCCACCATCACGCTACAGGACGTGGAGGTTTTATATGGCTTGCTCGTTGATGGCATGGCCGTTTCACTGCCTATTGCTATGAGATCTATGTCGCACGATGATTATTTGGACATGCTGCAACAGCTCACGGGTTTTAGGCCACAGGACGAGACTTTTTCGTCGGGTGCTAGTCAGTTGTCTTTGACCCCTATTAGATAGTACCCGGAGGTACTCCACCCCAATATCAGTGACGATACAGAGGAGATACATATTACCTGGTATACTAGGTTGTTGTTGCTTCTTCTATTTGGAGGGGTCTTGTTCCCGAACACTTCGGGAAACCTAGTCAGCCTGAGATTTCTTCATCATATTCAGCTGCTAGATGAGTTACCCTATTACAGCTGGGGTGCTGCTGTTCTCGCCTACATGTATAGGCAGATGTGCCGAGCGAGCATGGGCACTCAAAGAGATATTTGTGGTATTATGCCACTTCTACAAGTGACAACATATTCGAATAATCTGTTCATCAGTTCCAACTCTACCTAGTTAGAATCTTAAACCTGACGTCAACTTTGTATGTTAGGTTTGGGCCTGTGAGTGGTCTTGCAGTTTCAGCCACCTCTACCATAATTACCTCATAATGTAGAACCTCCGGAACTCCCTCTAGACAGGAGGTGGGTTCTCCGCCATACACTTTCACGGCAGTATGATGCTCATCATAATCTCCCCCTTTACAGGAATGTGTTGGATCTACCGGATTGCGCATAGCTAAATATGTACTTAAACTTACATGGTATATATTAACTTAGTATTGCGCATACTTAAATTTTGTGTTCTTATTTGATAGTTCATTTGGACGCCATACAACGATGATTTGATAGCTGGTATGTCAGCTTATTGTTGGGCCAGCCGACTGATTTGGAGCAATTCTTCCCTGCTCATATGCCTCGATAGTATGGAGCATCATGCGTCGGAGCGGGTACATCGCCAGTTTGGCTGCCCACAAATACCGAGAGGGCCTATATGGGATCCTAGGCATTATCAGATGGATGATCATTCCCGGGCGGAAGATGCATTTATGGCATGGTTAGCGGCGCATATCCATATTTGGGACCAACGAGATCAGATGATTCCACCCCCACCTACACAGATCCAGGAGGTGGCTATTCAGAGGTATATGTCCTGGTACTGCCACGTTACCCGACTTTTTATCGGGAAACCTATTCATCAGGCTGGCGGTCGGTATATTCCATACGCCGGGCGACATGAGGCCCTGGTATGTTTTCTGTTATTATTAATTATATAACTGTAACTTAGTGCAATATATGTAGTTTATATTTTATATGTTGTGCAGTCTATTAAACTGCATACAGTCTATCAGATGGGGCTGGAGATGTAGGATCATGTCGGCGATCCTGCGGCTGCCTTGCGGGATTACAATTGTTGATTTATAGAGTTGGCTGCCCGGACACTGCAACGAGCTCGGGAGGATCAGCGTTTGGCAGATATGCCTAATTATGTGGAGCCATAGCTCTACGAGCGAGGTTCTGGTGTCGCACGAGGTAGTGGTGCCCGACGAGGTGGTGGTGCCCGATGAGGCGGGGGTGCTGGACGATGTGGCAGTGGGCGGAGAGGAGGTGGTCCACAATAAGGGGGCGTTGAGGTCCCTGCTGATGATGTTGCTAATGATTTGTCGGGTGGCCTACATGAGACGGACATGCTGTCATACAGACCTACGATGGATCTCACTCTACGGACTTCGTAGGTGATCCCGTCAGGTCAATTATTGATCACGGGAACGGACCTTTCTAGAGTGGATTGGGATACATACTTTCCAGGCCCGTCTACTATTGCTGAGGAGCGGCCGACCCGAGATTTACATAGTGGGCGCCGGCTGAGTTATGGTTCATCATCACAAGCGCAAGTATGGTTTTCTTAGTATTGAATTACAATTTGTCTTTATTTTCCATAACTTTATTAATTTCCTTTTTAAGGCTGAACGCGATGCTGACATGGCTACGACAGATGATTACATTCAGGAGCCCTCATGGTAAGACAATTTAAATTGTTGTGACTTATTATATACTTTGTTATACTGAACTTTCTATTCTTATGTAGGTTTCTACTGGACTGGCGACCCCTTTTACCGATCCTGTCAGCACCACTGATGTTCATGATGCGGCGCATCCTACTATTAGGAGGCGACTTAATGATGGCGATCCTGATAGCTTACCCAGGCAAGATGGGATGCGCCTTAGGCCAGCGGCTGCGTTGAAGCACACTGGATGCGGAATACATTGATTTTCTTTCCTTATTTTTTGTATTTGATGTAAATAATATTTTTGTATATACATTAACAACAATTTTTATATAATATGCGTATTACTTTTTTAATTCTCCTTAATTAGTTAGTTTCGTACTACAACACAAACACAAGCATGAAAACTTAAATTCCATTACAATTAATAAAAATAAAGTTCATTACAACTAATTTTGTTTAATACTACAACACAAACACAAACATAGTAACTTAACATAATTAAAATTCAATACAAATAATAAAAATACACGACACAGGAAACATAAAGATAAAGTGACACAGGAAACATAAAGATAAAGTGATACACTAAACACATACATGTCAATGTTTAGTCCCTGCCGTAATTTATTCTCTGCTCCAACCACTTAAATTGTTCTACCAACTTATTTTTTTCTTTTTCCACCTCTTTCAGTTTCGCTTTCAACTCCGCAACCTCTCTTTTATGTTCTCTTTCACGTTCCCACTGTTTTAAACACAAATTATGAAGATCGTTCAAAGATTCTTTGTAGTATTCCTGATAACAGGGTTCATCAACCCATACCTCAAAATCGCAAATAGATTCGTCGGGAACCTTATAAAACTTGTTCAAACATTCCCAGTAGCGACGTCTAGCTTCATCATTATCCCAACAACTTTGCATCATGCATTTTTTTCACACTTGCACCTTAGTGCATAAAGAGGTTGAGACATTTGTGCGTTAAAAAAACTTGCTTTTAGTTATTGTTGAGCGCAGAAAATAACTAGAATGAGCCCGTTATTTATAGGCAAGACAACACACATAACGTAGTATTTAACCGCAATATATATACACATAACGTAGTATTTAACCGCGCTATGCTTTGCGTGTTAAAGGTTCTGATGGGTAGGAAACAACTTTAAGTCAGTTGGGCAGCTTTTTCAGTTCGACAAGACAACACATATAATGTAGTATTTATCCGCACTATATATACACATAACATAGTATTTAACCGTGCTATTTTTTGCGTGTTAAAGGTTCTGACGGGTATGAGACAACTTTATGTTATTGGGCAGCTTTTTCAGTTCGACAAGACAACACATATAATGTAGTATTTATCCGCACTATATATACACATAACATAGTATTTAACCGTGCTATTTTTTGCGTGTTAAAGGTTCTGACGGGTATGAGACAACTTTATGTTATTGGGC